ATGTTGAGATAAAACAACCACATTCAATGAGCCCATGAATAAGACACGGTTGATGGCGAAACCCAATGGAGAGCAGGCCATTCTGGCATTGGGAGCAAAAACTCAGAATTAGGGGGGTTTGACTGGGCGTACTGGTAACGAGTTAAGGGCATGCGAAATCCCGATGATGCTCGAGGACTAAATGATAAACAAACGCTTCGGAAATTGGAATACACAACCCGAATAGGTCCCAGGGCCCAGCAAAGTGAAAATCACGAGAGGGGCTCGATCCGGGGTAGCCTTGAGGATGTGAAAACGACGACAACGGATGTGGTGGTTGCAGAGAGGCTCAAGGCGCCCATCCGATCTCTGTTGGCCGGCCAACTTCAAGTCACAAAATCCCAGGGAGCCCTACCCTTCGGCGAGTCTTGAGGGCCGACATTAGTTCTATCACCTTTCCGATTTGTGCCAGGCCTGCACTTTTCTGTAGACTTGTATTTCGTAAGCAAGTACATGATTAAGGAATTCTAAGGTCGAACTCAAGAGAATAGTAGGTCATTCTTTTTTGGTTTTAATACGACGTTCAGACTGACGCAGTTCACAAGATATCGTCTCTCGTTCCGGGCAAAAGCGGGCTAGGCTTTCGTCCGTCATGATGGACCGCAGAAGGACTGGAAGTCATTCTTGCAAAAGTCTAAAGTTATCGAAAAGTCAAGAGGGCTAATCGGCTCAGGTCAAGTCGAATGCAGCATCACATCAGAAGCGCCAATGAAGCCAGCGTGGAAACAAGCAGCACAGACTAGGAATGTTGGCGCAGCTTTAACTTCGTCTGAAAAGGGGAGTGAGTGGAAGCTGTAAATTGGCCCCATTCAAAGACGAATGGGAACTGCCTTGGCTACTGGTCCGTTCGAGCAAGTGCTCAGAGCATCGTCCCATGGTTCCGATTAATCCGTGTTGAGCAGTTGCTTGTCATGTGACAGACGTCGTCAGAGCAGGAACCCGATGATGCTTCCGGCAAGGCCACTCACCCCATCAGACGAACCGACAGGTTAGTGATTTTGGCAAAATGTATAATAATGTCGCCATCGCTATAGGCAACCAAAAGGACTCCATTGCACGATCATGGAAGCAGAATGAGCAACTAATAGCAGGTTTTAGGAGTTGAGGAGACTAGCATTTTTTCAAAGTAATATCCACATGATTGCCCCCCCTTTTATGGATGGGGCGCCATACGCAAAAGCCCCTAAACTCGTAGATTGGTCTAGAGGCTGACGTGTATTAATTCATCTATTTGCGGTCAATTACGAGCGCACTCGTGCAGATTTCAGGAGGCCAACTGAACTCCACTAATTTCGCGGCTGGTAGTGAAGGCAACGTGAAGACGTGAGGGCCACGAGGAAAAGTTGAGCATAGAATAGAGGATAATCCATGAGCACATATGGCCCCCTGTGGCGGTAGTGATGATTGCTCCAAACGACATCTGCGAAAAATCGCAATTGAGCTAAGCTTTAAAAAGTGCATGTGGCTAGAACAAACGAATAGCACAAAAAGACTCTCACCTCTCCTGGATTGACATGGTGATCTCCTTGGCCTCTTTAGCAGGTTGAAATGGTTCGTTGAAATCTAGGGGAAGTGTGGAGTGGCGAGTTCTTGCGTACTTCCTGCCAGGCCTCGGTGCTGCCTCATCAGTACTCCTTTTATGGACAGCCTCCTTGCGCGGTATTTCCGTCAGATTTCTCTCACAGACAGATCCACTGGTGCTGAGATCGGCCTGGTCGCAGGATCTAACCTTGGTCGACGTCTCTATAAGCCTGTTTAACGAGGGGATCGGGTCAGAGAGGGGATATCATCGGAATAAGTTAGTCAGTTAAGACGGCTCCAGGCGTAGAGAAGTGAAGTAAAGTGAAGAGAAGAGAAGGGAAAGGGCGAAGAATGAGGAGGAAGGAAACCGAGACCTAACAGGCCCAGACAGCCAGGCTAAACACGCCGAGGCTGAGACTCGCGCAGGCACAGTAAGCGGTGCATAGCCAATGAGTGCTTGAGGCAGAGAGCGATCAATAGCTTGGACAAGCTCACCGCTGATTGGTTGATTGTGTTCTGTTCAGAGGATTCGTTGATTCTGATCCTATCCCTGTGTGGGGATAGGGCGAAGGGACCAATGGCCAGTAGGACGGTAATGTGTCTGTCAGCGTCTCAATGACTAAGTCGGTTTGAGTGAACCGCTTGGCTGTGCTGCTTCGCGGCCGACCCTGTCGGGCCGGCCCCGTGGCTGCGAGCCGTTAAGGCAATTGGTTAAAACACGCCCTTGCTACTCACCTGGGCGAAGAGACGGGCAAGCGGGCGGGCGGGCCCGTCCAAAAAGCGCTTTACCTCTTTACTGAAGGTGGCTCGACACGCCAGTTTCTAGCCCTCAACGCGAGACCCGACGACTCGGGCGTCGGCCGAGCCTCTTGCTGGAATGCGCTAATCAGATTGACGACCGAAAGTCGTCTGTAGCCCGACTCGGTCTCAGGTTCTTCCGAGTCGTAAAGTGAGACGAGCGGCTTTCGTTCCGCGAAACGCTTCCTACGCAGCACTACTTCGCCGCCCTGTCCGCGCGCAGCCTCTCGACGGTGGCCGCCCTGATCGAGAGCACTTGCCGTCGCCGCTGCCGCCGCCGCCGCCGCCGTTTCGTGCTGGCCAGCAAAGTTAAGCACAAGAGACTCACGGCGACGCCTAACTGAAGGAAAGACAATCTTCTCCTGACCGTTTGCGCCGTTTGCCTCTTCAACCGACCGTCCCTGCGAGAGCAGACTCTCGGCACGAGACGCAAGAGACGCCCTTCCAGCTGGCATATCCACGGGAACAGGCCCTAACGACGGCTCAGCTGGCGGCCCAACCTGGTCGGCAGCTGTTGCGCCCCGAGCCGCGCCTGGCGTCGACTTCGAGGCACCAGTCGCGAGAAGACTCGTGCCGTCCGCCTTGTCGCCGTCTGCCTCGCGAGACGCAGACGCCGCTGAGTGCTCTTGCTCTTCTGCCACTAGGCCGGAAGACTTAGCGACAGAGGCAGCGGACAGGGTCGATTCGTCGCTTTCGTGGGACGCGTCCGAAGTGACATCGTCTAGCGACACGCTGGGAGTTAATGGATCGGCCATCTTGACGCTGGAGCTTAACAAAGTGATAGTCTCGTCCAGCCGAAGATGGGCTAACTCTGAACGGGAGGGGCTGAAGACAAGTGGGGATGGAGACTGAATCGGCAGCTCATCTGCCTGCCTCAACTCACTCAGCAAACTGGTCTCCGGCGTTGAGAGCTCGGACGCTCGTTCTTGCAGGCCGAAGATGTCGCTGTCATCACCTCTAAAGCTGCTTACTGGCGAGTCTGCGCGAGACACGGGGGCAAGGCAAAAGCAAGTACAAGATTGCAAAATAAAGGAGAAAAGAGGCCTACTAGTTCCAGCCTCAAATAGCCCAGGGCCTGAAAATTCGTGTGAAAACGCTCCGAAGGCTCAGCCGCACGGTCTTTTTCTCGTCGAAACGAGAGGACCATTGCGCCCTTGAAGGTGCCCTGCTTCAAAAAGCTCACAAGCTGATGAAAATTGCCCCAGTCTTGATGCTGGCCTATCTTTGTTAGGGA